AACATCCACAGTCTTTCCCTCATCTACTAGGCGGGTCCCTTTGTCACAGAAGGAAAACAGATTGGTCAAGGATGATCTTCCTTTCATAAATCCGTATTTCCCAATAGCTACCAAGTGTTGAGAGAGGTACTGGAATGTTTCAAATTTTATTTTCACTTCATCTAATAGAAAGGGTCATTTGTCCACTTCATTAAAAAATTGTGTGCCGCAGATTTTTCTTGTTAAAGCTATAGTGTTTTGAAAGGAGCGCAAGCCAGAGAAAATGCAACCAACCTACAAAACAGCGAAGTCCTTTGAAGACACTGTGATAGAATTAGGGGCCTTAAATGTAGCGCAAGGTTGAAGTACTAGTGTACTTTAAAAGATCACAGTTCAGAGTGGGCCAGGCACTGCTGTCACAGACGGATGATGCTGTAATTGCTGCACTGTGACACAGAGCCTTTTGCCTGATACAGCTCCGTCCCCACTCCTTTCCATCTTTCCTTTTTATCATTCTTTCTTGTCAGGAGACTCCTTTGTGACCAGGAGCTGGTCTCTCAGAGAAAGCCCCCACTAAATGCATGGATCACTCTGAAAGTTCCCCACTAAGCACAGCCAGGCACAGCATGACGGTGCGGCATTTCTGACTCCTGGAGAGTCGGATCAGTAGACAGAGCAACCCAGAACACAGGGGAAGATAGTCTGATGTGTTAGCTAGCTCTGTAAACTGCTGCCCTCTTTCCTGGCTGTGTAATCACTGAATTATCTTGGAGCTTTCTATGTGCACCTTTACCCTTTCTCTTCCTCTTTCTCCCTTTCTCTACTGACCAAAAAAACAAACCCCAAAACTCTCCCATCTCCCCAGCTTGAGAGCTACTACTAAAAGATGTTCTTTAGCTTTTCTGGTTGCAACCTTTAAGCAACAAGAAGCGCCTATATGGAGAACAGTTCCAGCTTTAGGGCCACAGTAATGCTATTTACAGAATTATTTACAGAAACTGAAGAGCTGGATCTGAGGTGGGCTAGAACGTGGCCTTTATTGCTAACTGGGACCCTGGGTATGTGTGTTTCATAGGCGCGTGTGTCTGGCTGAGGCTTTCCTCACAGCTGACATCATTCTGAGTACACTGCAGAATATCTCCGAGGGACTTGTGGTATATCCGAAGGTAAAGCAGGAGATAATGTGTGCAGTGTTGCATCCTTGATAATGCTGCAGCTATGCCAAAGTGTATAAAAATCCTCCCACCCAAAGGATTACATTTTTATCTGTTAGTTCAAACGGTTTCTGAATTTTGCTGTCCATTCTCACTGTATCCTCACTGTTTGCAGGACAGTCATGAAAGGGTACTTGTTGAAGCCAAAAGGCAGTAAATAAAAAATTTCTCAAAAAGGGTATTTTTCCCTGAACTACATGATGGATCTGTAGAACTTCCCACCAAAAGATACGGTCAAGGCAGATCTCGAACAGTCCTGTAACTTACCTACAGGTTAAAAAAAATAATTCATTGTACATCTTTTCCACAGTAATGTCCCTTACAATATACAGATTCTACGTATTATCAGCTTCAATACCTGGATTTCCATAGCTAAGTTCAAAAAGACAAATTGTCTTTGCATCATTGTCCAGTCCTGGAGAATCAAAGGGAGAGGAAAACTTCACTGGGAGTCCCGGTTGTCTGCAGAATTGTGATAATGCGGTTTCTTTTTTCTGTTTGTTTTGTTTTGTTTAAGGTGATTGCAAGGAGGATTGGGCAGGAGCTGCCATTCATGGCCACAGAGAATATAATCATGGCGATGGTGAAAGCAGGAGGCAATCGTCAGGTATAAATACGGTCAAAAATACCTTTGTTCACTGCCTGGCATTTCACTCCTGAGAAACAAAAGTACCTGGGCTCTTGTGCTGACCATCTCACCTTTCGTTGTTCTCCACCTACTCCCACAGAGTCATTAATATGACTCTGCGCTCCGAGGAGAGAGCGGTTGTGGAGATCCGTATTTACTGCTGGGAACACTGTGTGTTTGAGCTAATCTGGCTGGCTGTGCTGGAGAAGAGGGAGACCTATTTTTATATTAGATACTAGTGGGCGTTTTCCTTTTGTAAATGTTTGAAAGAACTTGGAACACAGGCTAAGCTTCTTTAAATGGAACATGTTGGCAGTTGGCTACCTTATAAATTAGAAGAATGAATCAGTGCTGTTAATGAAGAAGCAAATAAGACCGTTCTGAACCATTCATTCATGTGTCACTCTTCCCTAATTCAGTATAGAGCTTTTTGTTATTAACTTTGTTTATGGTCCTTCATTCGGTTTTCTGTGTTCACATAAATTGAAATTAAATGTTTTCCTTAGTAAATAAATCCATACACATTTAGATTGTATTTCCTTATCATTTAATTTTGCAATTCAGTTTAAAACTGAAAATCAAATTTACATCTTAATAAAGCAGCTTATTTTCACTTACCTTTTCCTTAGTAAGTAATTCTATAGAAGTAATTTTTCCTTCTATGACCATTTCCACATCAGGGACAGAAGTTAAACTTGCAAGATAGTAATAGCAAAAGGGTTTGCTGGAAGCTTTGAGTAGGGTATGTGGTTCTAGTTCTCTGAAATACTTCTGGCAACTCACCTGTGATGTTAGTCAGGAAAAATCTTCCTTTTTGGTTTTTTCCCTGTGTGTCTCTGATGTTTGTCACTGGGTCAGTCAGTAAGCTTCCTAACTAAACTTAATAAGGGTCACATCATATGGATAAGTTTCATTATCTTTTCAGCTGGTTCTCTTTCTGAAGTATCCAATATTTACCTAAACATTCCTTTCTCTTTTGATTAGATTAAAGAGTGAATTTCATTTGTATTTGTTATTGGCCTACCTTCTTTCTGGTGCTGTTTATTTACAAATCTATAGTTTAGTACGCTTATAAAATCTGTTCAAAGTCACATTAGTATGTTCTGTTTTCATGTGCTGGGAACTCTGGAACAGCACATTTTCTATACTTTCCCACCCCATAGCACAGAAACTCACTTCCTTTGCCCACCACTGAACAGCTCCCTCCCCTAAACATCCAGAGGACAGATCTGTTCACCTGAGGCAGGTCAGTGACGGAGCAAGATGGCCTTTGGATGGAGGAAACAAGGAACAGGAGATTGTTTTCCTTCTAATTGAAGATATAGATCAAGGATAATACATGTGAGGAGAAGATTCTTACTTGGCTGTAAATGCCACCACATGACGGTGTTTTAGGGCCAGCGTGGCAGCATCTGATTTTGCAGGTGGTCCCTGACTACGCTTGTGTTCCCTTGTTTTTACAGATTAATTCCACAGGAAATCAAGGGATTAGGAAGTGTTTCAGAAAAATTGTTATAAAGGTTTTGCCAGTCTTAGTGTCATGTGAGGGTTGTTTGGGAGAGAATGTCTTAGGGCCCTCAGGTTTGTAAGGTTTTTTTTTTCCTTCAGTCTGTCCTTCTGTAAGCCAGGTTCTGTAAGCCGTAGTCTCACTGCTCATTAAATTAGAGAGTTTCTTTTCCCTTTTCCAAACCTGTAGAGGTTTTACATTGTTATGGTCCCAACATGTTCCATACAGGGGATGACTAGTGGTGAATAAAGAATTCCTTTATTACAGTTCTTAGAATATTTTGGGAACAGCTACTATAGTCTGTCTTTGGAAAAATCATGCAAATAGAGAATAGAACAACTGAAAAAAAAAATCCTATAGTGACTCCTAAGAGTATTTGGGGAGTTTGAGGAAGTGTGAGGGATTGCAGCATCGTAAGTTTGTGGTATAACTGAACGGGGAATGTATGTGTCATTCAGACTGTTTTAGCCTCAAAGGGCAGATGGGGAAGGATGAAGAAAATCTTGTTTTAATATAGCATTATATGAGACACTGCAGTCCAAGCTGTGTCTCATTTGTATGCTGTCCAGTGCAGTGCGCTTTGATGTCTCTCCCTCCCGCACAAGTTAGCGGGATGAACACGTGCTGTCAGTATCAATGGAATGACTTTTTTCTTTTCCCTTCCTCTTCGCCCTGCTCCTACAGGATTGCCATGAGAAGATTCGTGTTCTCTCCCAGCAAGCAGCTGCTGTTGTGAAACAGGAAGGGGGTGATAATGACTTCATTGCCCGTGTCCGCGCTGATCCTTACTTCAGCCCTATCCATAAACAACTTGAAAGTCTGTTGGATCCCTCCTCCTTCACTGGACGTGCTCCTCAGCAGGTAAAGCAGGGCGAAGAGGCTACGGATGTTACAGGTTGTAATGCAATCCTGCCTCCTCTTGTGTGCCCGAGAGCGCACAAATTCTGCATCTCTGCCCATACTGCTAAGGCAGACACATTTCTCTCTTGTTTTCCTTGGCTTCCTTGTGGGCTTCACATTTTTGACCCTGGATGTATCAGACTGCTAGGTGTCTCTGTGAAACAAGGACCCCTGTGAGACAAGCAGGTCTGAATGGGGAGGAGAAGGGAACCCTCTCTTTTGCTAATTTTCTCTTTCCCATCTTTCTTGAACAGGTGGCAAAGTTCCTGAAGGAGGAGGTTCGACCAGCGCTGATTCCGTATCAAGGCAAGATGGGTGGGAAAATAGAGCTGGCACTTTAGGTATATTCTGCAAAGGTGTGTGGGTACAGGAAGATAATAAAAGCCTTATTGAACCAGGTCTGTTTACTGTGTCACATTGTTTTGGTTCGCTGCAGTACATTTAACCCCCAGAGCTGATTCCAGATGGGCTTTTCATTCTTTGTCTGCTGTTTAATCAAGCCTCCATCTACTGTGTGCTGAGTTACTGAGAAATGCTTGATTGTGACAAGGCAATTTCATCACCGTACCTTTCATTGGCCCCTTACAGAGCACTGCCAGCTGTTGAAAGAGCGATGCCAGGTGCTGCCTGACATTATGTAGGGCTGACTTGTTGAAGAGCAGGGGAAGGGGAGCTGAGCCCACTCCCATTTTCATCTTATGCACCTGCTGTTAAACTTTCTCCACACGTGTCTCTAAAGATGATAAAAGGTTGTCCTGGCTTTCAGAGTACTGTGATCTGGGGAAAAAATAGGCCAAAAAATTAGGAATAATGAAAGGGAGAGGCCATGGAACATCTTAGCTCATCAAACTGGTGGTCGTCAGTGCTCCCTTCCTGGATTAATACTGTACCTGTGGCTCTGTAGCTTCTGAAAAATCATATTTACAGGTGCAGGTTAGGAACCAGCCTTTGTGATTTACTTTTCCACGTCTTCGGCTGTAGGTGCTTGATACTGAACGGCAGGTGGACTCTGGCGTGTGAAAGTCATTCTCTACTGCGAGTAAGTTTTGTCTGATAAGGGAAGAAAAAAGATGTTGGAATTCATTGGATGCCAGAGAAATTCAAGAGCTTTGGTCTTATTTCTGACCCTGAATGTTCTGTTTTGTAATGTCTGTGCTTTACTGGACATTCTGTACTGGACCAAACTCTTCTCCCTTTGACTTAAACTGGAATGATTCCCTTACCCCTTCTTCCAGTGTTGTTACATCAGAGCCCATTTCTTGTTCTTCAGTGCAATGAAAAGCTCCGTCTTACCTCTGTTATTTATTCAGACTCTGAGAAATGACATGATCAGAATGAAATATTTGATTCTTTTTGAAGTGTGATTGCTGGAAAGAATTAGGAAAAGCAGAACTAATTGAAGGAAGCTACCTGCTGTCCTTGAGGCCATCTTTGTTTAAAGAGGATTTCAAAATAGAGTATGTTTTAATGAGGTTTGTCTATATTAAGTGTTCAGAGAAGCAGGAAGCTTCAGACCTTATCTCCCCTCATCTAGATTGCTCTGGCTTTACTTTGCCTCTAGACTATGGCATTCAAAATGTCTCAAAACGTTTGTGAGTTTTATGGTGTTTAAAACATTTTGCCTGCTTGTGCTATTAACATTTAATTAGCCATCTGTTTGAAAAGGCTAACTCTAATTGAACACTGGTAATTTTCAAACTATTACTCAAATGGATAGCCAAGAAAGAAAACAGATAGACGCAGAAGTCCTCCTATTTTGGTCCTCTCCTCCTCCTTTGTGGAATTAAAAAAACCAACCAACCCTGTGCAGAGAAGAGGAACAGCCAATGTATCTTTTCTCATCATCTGGAAATAAATCTTTGTGCTAGGTAGAGGCTGCCAGCTGTGAGGCATTGGACTTACTTTCCTGGAAAGTTTAAAAAGAATAACAATGACGCAGGGAAAACGTTACCCTCCTAGAAAAGTGTGGCATGGTACACAAATCCTTTTGGAGACTTCTCTTCAGAAGAGCTTGGCTCGGGACCTCGCTCTCTTTTATCCAGCGGCGTTGGCGGAGGCACCAGCCAGAGACTTAGTCCCCTCCTCTCCTTGGTTGTTGGGAGCAGGTCACCAAGGAATGCTTCAGAAGCAGCTCTTCACTAGTTGGCCAGGCCGGGTGGCTCTTCCAGTTTACCCCGGTACGTATCGCCGTGTCCGCGACAGGTGCCAGCAGTAAAGCGGCAATGGCTCTGTGCCCTGCTTGGCGGAGAAATGAATCTAGACCTGAATGATGGGAAAGAAGCTTCTCAGCGCCTTCCCAAGCGCGAACAGGTTTGTTCCCCAGCC